GTGGGGTCTGATGGCATCACGTGGGGTGAGAACATGGGGACAAGGGGCTGGGAAGCACTCCAGAAAGAAACACCAAAAATGGGGTTTTATAGTCACACAAGGAGACGAGCTCCTGGATGTCGGCTGATCACAGAAAACCTGGTAACAGCCAAAGGCACCCCAAGAAGGGAAGTCCCACTGTGCAGCCACTAAAAAGGCGGAACAGAGCACAGATGCTGGTGGATGCACCCCAAACCAGCTGAGCTGGGAGCTGCACTCCCGGGTGAGCATTTTGTATACCTGTGAAAGGTGACATGGTTTTGTTCATGCCACAGATAAATACATACAGAAGTATTTTCCAAGCAGTCTTAAGGGGTGCAACCCTCACTTCTAATAAGAGGCCTCAGGAGAGAGACTTGGGCCCTCAACATTACCCCTAACATTTTATTTCTTTGACAAAAAATGTCTGGGAGCAGGCTGGGTGCAGTGGCTCACACATTTAATCCCAGCACTTTGGGGGAGGCCAAGGCAGGAGGATCGCTTGGGCCCAGGAGTTTGAGACCAACTTGGGCGACAGAGGGAGACCCCATCTCTATAACAAAGAAAAAAAACAAAATATCTGGGAGCAAATGTAGCAAAATGTTCACATGCGGTGGCAGGTATGAGTATGATATCATTCTTTGTACTTTTTGATTTTCTCCCAAGTACCAACACAAGCAAGAGTACTTCCCTTCCATCAGGATTTTACCCATATGCTTTGTGTTTGTGCTTGTGAAGATGTTAGGTGGCTGTCAATGCTCTGGGTGACACACTGGGCTTCCCAGAGTCACTTTTTTTTTCTTCTTGAGACAGGGTCTCACTTTGACACCCAGGCTGGTGTGCAGTGGTGAGATTACTGCTCACTGCAGCCTTGACCTCCCAGGCTTAGGTGATCTTCCCACCTTAGCCTCTCCAGTAGCTGGGACCACAGGCGTGCGCCACCATGCCTAATTTTTTTGTATCTTTGGTAGAGACGGGGTTTCGCCATGTTGCCCAGGCTGGTCTGGAACTCCTGACCTCAAGTGATCCGCCCACCTTGGTCTCCCAAAGTGCTGGGATTACAGGCATGAGCCATGGCACTGGCCAGAGTTCCTCTCACATAGGCATTTCAGGCAGTGAGTCCAGGTTCCTCAGTGGTGGCTGGACACAGTGTGTTTTCTCCCAATTTGGATGTGGGTCTACAGCCTGCCCCACCCAGGGGTCGTACCCCACTCTGCCCAGTCTCCAGGTCTATGTGACCCAGGTGGAGCTGCGGTCCCCAGGGAATGCTTCCTGAACGTCCCCTCCCCATGCCCCCAGCTCTCCTTACCTCTGTGCAGGCTCTTGAGCGTCTCATAGGTGAAGAAGCTCAGGCCGGCGTAGGGAATGACCCCCAGCACAGTGGGCATAAATCCGTGGTAGAGGGTCTTCAGCCCCTCTTCTCTCGAGATGCGGATGAAGACATGAAAGATGTTGCTGTACCTGCCGGGACAGAGCAGCCCAGCAGGTGGGACTCGGGCCTCCCAGGCACAGGGAGGAGCCACAGAGGCTCCTGGCTCCTCCCACAGCCGGCTGGGCCTGGGTGTGTTTGGATGTTGATGTTTTCCTTCTTCAAGACATATAACCCCATCGCCCAAGCTTTGGCATTAGAGGGGAAATGCACGGGTAAGGCTAGACTCCACCTTTGCCACAGGAAGCACTCTGGCATGCTCAGCCCTTGTCTCTTTTTTTGTTTGGTTTTTTTTGTTTGTTTGTTTATTTTTGTTTTGAGACAGTCTCCCTCTGTTGCCCAGGCTGGAGTGTAGTGTCACAATCTCGACTCACTGCAACCTCTGCCTCCTGGGTTCAAGTGATTCTCCTGCTTCAGCCTCCCAAATAGCTGGGATTACAGATACATGCCAGCAGACCTGGCTAATTTTTGTATTTTTAGTAGAAACAGAGTTTCACCATGTTGACCAGACTGGTCTTGAACTCCTGACCTCAGGTGATCCACCCACTTCAAAGTGCTGGAATTACAGGCATGAGCCACCATGCCCGGCCTCTATTCT